CTCTTTAAATTTGGGTAAAAAATTTCTCCGCATATCTCGCATAAGAAAAATTGCTGTGACCAGAATTTTGGCGAGAGTCTTTGTATATTTACCTTCTTTATTTCCCAGATGCTGGACTTTATCTATTGACCGGTTTTGTTTAGAGTAGCGATTTTGAAGTATCCTGGATGAGTAAGAACTCTACTGCAATGACAAAGATTTCCTAGGCTTGTTTACTAATCGCAAGCATTTCTTTGTAGAATTCTCCGCGGGGCCGCCATCGTGTTCGGTCGTGTAGTTCCGCCATTTCAGTTTCTTGCTAGTAAGTTTTTGTGACACGTACGCATGCGCATCGTAGCCACTACTGTGGAGACTTTAAAGCTCTTTTGAGTTACTAGCTCGAGAATAAATCATGTTTTCATGCTTCAACAGAGCGCAAATATTTACTGACAAGGTCGATCAGCTTCACATAAATCGATTAATAATTTTGAAAGAAAATGGCTGTGCTGTGACGACGGACAAGTGACAGCTTTGTGTTGCGTGACAGACCTTTAGAGGATCGAGAAATTCAATTAGGGTGTACGCTATGTTGAGGACAAAACGCTCGGAGCCACCTTTCTTGACGTCTAGTTAACAATATGTTAACCGGTTTCTTTTTTTAAAATCAAATTCAGAGCACAGAAAGGGCTAAAACGACTGCAGTCCCTAAAACCTCATGGGATTGTAGTGACTCTTCCATCGGACAGCCTTCAAGTATGGGAAGCTGTGGTGCCGGGATCAGAAGAATCACGCTACAAAGGTGATCAGTGCCTTGATTCTCACTACCTTCACACGTAGTTCTTCGATAATTTTTGTCGTTGTTTTGTTTCCTCAGGAGGGTGGTTCAAAGTTCAAGTATATTTACCGTATCCTTCAGATAAAAGAACTTTCTAGTGTTTTTATTTAATTTTAGGAAACACTTGTTTTATGGTCAGTGCGCCTATTGTTTTGCTAGTCCGCTGGACTGTGTATCAAGAGGACCCGGCCGGACTCTCACCTAGCCGCACTCTTTACCTTAATGCTTTTCTCAAGTGCTAACTCCGTAACGACTTAAGAGTCGTTTGTAATCGAACTTCAGTTTATTTGTGGTTTATCAAGAGCTCGTTAAACTTCGATCTTGTCACGAGAGCGCGCAGTAAAACTACGTATTAATCGTCTATTAAACTGCTGCTATGATTATCCCGCGACATCTTGTTAACTTCCTAATACCTAAGCCAAGTATTTAGCCATATTTAGCGCGTGTGAATCGTGTCAACACTAATTTTGGCTCAGCATGAAATCGAAAATGGCGACTCAATTTGGTCAGCGCAGATATGATTTAGTTCCGCAAAATTGGAGACAAATAAAAACGTTCGAAATCTTATAACGTTGTCATGAGCTAAAATCACTAAAGTATCCCTTACTTCCCAGGTAGAAATCCTCAATACATGCAGAACAATCCACTGTTACTGTCGCCTCCTCCGCATTACACTTCTCATTTTCTGACGGAGGAGGGCAGGATTTATAACCCGTCACAGCCGTGGTTTATGGCCAAACAAACTGGTCCGTACACCCAACAAGAGACATTCACCTCGAGCGGGGGCCCTCAACTGCCATTCAACTACACAACAGACCCAAGAACGCTGCTGCCTACCTCCACGAGCAAGCTTAGCATTCCTGGTAAGTTCACGTTCGATTCGTTAGTAGTTTTCTACATCTCTTTGACAGACAGGTTAGCACTTTAATGTTTTTCTTAAGTGTTAACTCCGTAACGACTTAAGCGTCGTTTGCGATCGGACTTCAGTTTATTTGTGGTTTATCAAGAGCTCGTTAAATTTCGATCTTGTCACGAGAGCTGCAGAGCGCGCAGTAAAACTACGTATTAATCGTCTATTAAACTGCCGCTGCCTGATTATCCTGCGACATCTTGTTAACTTCCTAATACCTAAGCCATATTTAGCGCGTNTTTTGACGAGCCCGTAGGGCGAGTCAAAATACAAACAACGAGTAAAAATATACAGCGATACTACACACCAACACATCTAATAAGAGATTTGTTATCCAACTGCTGTATCAATGAAAGAGGGAGAGTGTCACAGTTTTGAGTGCGCGCGCCGACCTGTACGGCAAACAGGTTTTCTACTGTACAAATACGGCAAACAGGTTTTCCACTGTACAATATCGCTGTATATTTTTATTGTTATTTGGACAGTATTCGCTGCAGTTGGATAATAAAACTACGTATTAATCGTCTATTAAACTGCCGCTGCCTGATTATCCCGCGACATCTTGTTAACTTCCTAATACCTAAGCCATATTTAGCGCGTGTGAATCGTGTCAACACTAATTTTGGCTCAGCATGAAATCGAAAATGGTGACTCAATTTGGTCAGCGCAGATATGATTTAGTTCCGCAGAATTCGAGACAAATGAAAAACGGTTTCTCATTGTAACGTCGTCATCGGCATAAATCACTAAAAAATCACGATAATAAAAGAGAACTTTGCATAAAAGATTTAATTTCCTTGTCTAAAGGAGATCACAGTCATCCCGGTTAAAAGATTTCTCACATTTTAAAACTTTTCGCTTTTTTGAACCTTGTAACATTAGAAATCCGCTTTGCCAAATGAAGAAAGAATTGCGATAGTAATCGAAATGTACTGGCGATCATGAATGTAAAAGAAAAGATCATAAACTGAACTTTACTCTGATAGGAACCATTAAAAACCTTACTTAAATAGTTGAAATATTTAAGTAAGCCTTTAAATGGGTTCTTAGCTGTTAGTGGCTTCCAAATCTACACACAAAACGGTTTGAAAAGATTTTCTTCGTATATCAATGAACTTAATTTTTCCCTGCTTTTTTTATTGTAGACCCTCCCTCCAGCTCGGATATTATACATCATCCTCTTCCCGTGCACTCCCGTGTAAAGCCAGCTCTTCGCACCCCAAGCGGGAAAAGATGTTGCAAGTCGCGCACAATTTTCACGGATCTTCAGTTGCGTGTTATGGAGAAAACCTTTTCAGAGCATAGATATTTGGACTCCACAGACCGCGCCAAATTATCGCATATCCTGGGCTTAAACGAAGCGCAGGTGAAAACCTGGTTCCAGAACAGAAGGATGAGGTGGAAAAAGATTGTAGCGAAAAATGACAAGCCTGATAGCTCGACTACGAGTAAAATAGCAGAGAAAAACGACGCAGCTATCGGGAAAAACAACAAAGAAACAGCCACAAATGAAAGAGAAAAGACTCAAACTAATTGAACAATTCGATACATTGAAATGAAAGAGGAACAAAAATCGTAACTTTACCGTTTGTGAGATCATTTATTGTAACTAATTAGAGACGGGAAAACAGATACTTGTGTAACTTAAGGCTTGATAGTGTTAATTTGACGGAAGTTTATGGAGACGCTGGGAAATTTGGGAAAGCAAAGCTACATTTTAAAACCAGATAAGAAATTATCAGTCAAAATAATGAGCGAAAGAGGAGAAAAGAACAGTTTTCTTTATCTACACTTTGTCTTTATCTTTAAACGCAAATAATTTAGACACTTTATTCACATCATGCCACAAACCGTGAATCCACATCACAGTCGTGAAGGAAAGAAAGTTTTAATAAATTTTTAGCTTGACGTTGTAACGCGTTTATCAGCTTTTTCTTGATCACGATACACTGCTTTTTTTTGGTGTGCTAGTAAATTAAGCTGTCGTTTGAACATAACTGATCTTGTAAGCGTGAGCGGTGCGGGAAAAAATGTTTTAAAAGTATTTGTAAATATCAACTTTAGCATTTCCTGATCTAATAAAATACACAAATCACGATGTCATTTATGGCTTTAAAAGTCGGCATGTATCTGTTGACCATACAAAAGAAAACCGTGGAAAAATCAGTAATCCTGTGCGCGGACGATGCCATAACACTGAACTTCTTTCTTCCAGTCAATCTCTTCATAAAAAGAGCAACCAAAGAGATCAGTACGAATATGTCGAAGTTGACACACGGTGATTCTATTTTGTTACTGCTGGAGCGAGGGTCTTAAATGAAGCTCAGAGAAGCGTTTATTTACGTAGCGGACTCTTTGTTTACCAGAAGGATACAAAAAATGGTTGCCCGCCGCCATTCTTTAGAAGTTAATAAAGCAATTTTCTAACTTGTGTGTTGGGCCTTCGATGTTCCCACGTCAACAGAAGCGCATTGAAAACTCGTTGAAAAATAATTGAAATATTTCTGCGTTTGTCTGGCGAGTTGATAATTTTCTGTCCTTGATGAAAAGGACTCTCTTTAACTTCGTTTGATCGGAATTTGTTTTGAGAACCACAGATAGCTATTCAACATGTGTTCGTTGCTTTTTGTAGAGCACGCAAACTCCTTGTCATTATAAAGCGAGTGTTGTTGAATAGAGTAAATCTAATGTTCCCTGGGTGATATACACGACCTGGATTATGGCATTTACTAAAGTGGTACTATGACGAAAGTCGCATCTTTCCTATCTAAGCCATTTTAAAACATAAACAAGCAGTCTGTGTGAGAAGAAAAATGCTGTTTACTATTTTCAAATATCTCTTTTCGCTCCAGAGAGATTCAAGTTTTTAAAATATGCAAATTACCAAGTAATGACGTAATGCACTAAACCAAATTTTCATTAAGTATAATGAAGAAAGACATCTCAGCCAATTTGTATCAGAAATGTTTGATTCTTTGCAGTAACATTTTTCTACATGTGCTGCACAATACTAGCTTGACAGTTTTGTTACCATGGCAAGATACTGGGTTTCAGACCTCCCCAATATCAATGGCTTTTCTGGCCACCTTTGGCAGTCCATTTTGATATTTGCTAATGGTGCCTTATATGCATGATCAGGATCGGTCCCCGATTATGGCTCCTGGCATGATCCAGCAAGCATATGAATATGTTAGGTCGAGTTCATGGCCTTGTTTAATTTTTTTTAGCTGAAAATCACTAAAATATTGTAGTAGGTGGGGACTGGAAAAGAGTGAATTGCCATGGGAAGAGAATTTTTTTATGGATGTAGGTGTGTTGCTTGTAGAACTATTAGCCTACCAAGTTTCATTGGTCTGTGCTGCAAATGGACCAAAATAGCTCTATTTATATACTTGATATAATATTGGGTTGAGTATATTACGTCATCAGTTATCTCATTTACAAGTTTTACACATTTCTCAACCTTAAATATCTCCGGAACTAATGCAGATATTTGCAAACGGTAAATAGCGTTTTTATTCTTTCATGCCATTCTATAATACACCGAAAAAAATCAAGGGGTCAAAATTCGATCATAGTACCACTTTAACCTTTTGTGCGGATATGACAGGAAAAATCCCGTGTTGACTTAAAGCATAAATGCAGTTTCAATGGAAGCTGCGCTTTCGAAATTCTTCCAACGAGTAGATTGCCAATTGAGTATCACTTTCGACTCCTCACGCAACTATTCGGCTCAATTCAGTCGCTGTTTCGAGCTAACCTGCTCTACAACACGAGTTGAAATGCTCAAATCAGTGAGCGCAATATCATTTCCTTCGATTATCTCTCCTTTTACAAGGATTTCTAGCTCTTAGAAAACTTTGAGAATAAGCATGAGTGTGTACTGAATACTATACAATGGGCGCAAAAACCACAAAACACGCGAAGCCTTTGCCACAAAGGTCACGTCAACTAGAGAAATCAGTTTTCTTTCAAAAAAAAAAAAAAAAAAAGTTCTGCTCTCTTTATAAGCTGTATTCTAATTAAGCAGATGTGTATTTCTATCAGGGAAAAAGATGTCCTTTACAGACATTTTGAACATCCACCCAATTTCCCTGAGAGAGTGTGTTTTTTTTTTCAAACTGCGAATAAGCTTTGTCTGTTGAAATTGTTGTTATTAGAACTCCACCTTGCAACCATCTCATTCAATTCAAACGATCATTTTCTTTAGACGTAAAAACACGAAACAGTTGATCCTTTTCCTAGGAGGATAAAAGGAAACAAAAAAGAAAGAAAAAAAAAGAAGGAAAAAAAAAAAGGAGAAAGCAAGAAAGAAAGAGAAAACAGAATTAAATAATCGCGCGTGGTTTGGGACTGGGACTGTGACTATCTTAGTTCCCAGTTTTTCTTCAGACTCGGTCACACAAGATTCCTAACCGCTTCTGCTGTATATGAGGAACCGCGGGTTGCAGCGTTTTTCAAACCTAGTTGACATGACTTTAAGTTGTTCTACATCTACATCTACATCTACATCTACATCTACATCTACATCTACATCTACATCTACATCTACATCTACATCTACATCTACATCTACATCTACATCTACATCTACATCTACATTTAAGTTCGGTGAAAGTCACAACCCTCGTTGCTTTCGGATTTCATGGATTTAGGAACCTTTCCTTGTCGCTTTTGGCAGGTCAGCTATTTCCTCGTAGCTTAAACGTGTATTATTTGTGGACTGATACAAGAATTAGAATGCAAATGTTTCTCTGAATAAAACTTGGAGGAAAGAATCAGTCCTTGGGTTATTTATCACGAAAAAATATCTGATATATTGCCTTTAGGGTTAGGGTCATCCGCAACAAACATCAGAACAGTTTGGGACACTTTCTTGTCGCGTCTGTCATTTTCACTGTCACGCATTAAAAATATAAATCGAAAACCATTCAGTGGATAAAGTCAAGAACTTGTGATCTTATAGGATATAGATAGAGAAGACACTTCTGCAAGTTTTAGGTTTGCGTGTTTTCCCAGACTGCACATATTTGTCGAAATGTTTCGCAGAAATTTACAGAGCCCAGTGTGGAAACGCCATGTTGATACACCTCTGTGGTGCACCAATATGGCGGCCGGAAAATAGTATAAACGTCTGGAACTTACTTTGGCTATCTAGGCACCTGATTATCTTTATTGAACAAACAAACATTTACATAAGCACTTTTTCTGATGATATAACTTCTAAAAAAGCTAAAAATCATGAGATAGGCATATATTTTTCGACAAATGCGACTGAAGCTTTGTGTCACGCACCGCCATAGTCGCCATGACTCTGACTCAAAATACGCTGGTTTTCAAACGAAACACACTATTAAGCTGTAACATTGTAAACAGATATAAATTTACCCCTTCTTATGCCTGATGGGGATAAAAGCTTTGTTGGCTCTTTAGTTTTCGATTTTAGAAAAGGATGACGTCACATGAAAACGATCCATTGTTTCATATAACAAGTTAAGGTGAGTTTGAGGTCTTTACCTTCTGAATATTGCTACTTTCAGTACATATTGCAAACAACCATGGCATTTTAGGGCTAATAATTTGTCTAGGAAACTATCATATGGCTGAGAAATTGTTCAGTTCTTAGTTGTTCTTCTTATTACTACTTTGAATCCTTGACCACGTGATAATCAATGTGTAGTGAGAATTACCCTCTTGGTCCTCCGACGATAACTGTGTGATTTAGAAATACTTTGTGATACATAATGTGTTATCGTCGGAGAAGGGTCGAGGAGCAGCTGTCGTAAGGTCTCACATGAATTCCTTGATAGCCTTTGAGAGGACAATAGAACAAACAACAGAAACACTGCCCCTAGCCGCGCCCCAAAACAATAACAGCTGCTAACAAGCAAAACAACGACAAGCTTACGAGAGCTGCTACACTTCTGTCGGCAGGGTGAAAGCTTTTTGGATAGAATGGGTTTCAATTAAGTGCCTGATCCAGAACTGGTGTGGTTTTCTTCAGTACCGCGCTCTGTGATTGCAATTGCCGCCCACTCAGTCAATGGCCACCTGAGTCTCATTCTCGTCCCCCGAGCCCTGCGTTTCCTTTTTGTCATGTGGTCTACTCCTAACGGAGTTTTAAAACGAGTAGCATTGGGGACGAGAAGTCCTGAGCATATCTTTTTTTGGGCTCGTTACGCATGCGTGACGATCCAAAGAACGTCTGCGTACAGGAGGCAATCAGTAAGAAAACTTATGCGGTACTTACCAGCTTGTGTCGCGAGAGACTCATTATTGGTCCTCTTTTGTGCCAGGTTCGCTTCTTGTCTCCCATTTATCACCTGAACGTTTGCCCGGCAACTGGTCACGTGGCCTGGGATTCCTGTCCGAGGAGACCTGGTTACCAACTCGCTGTGTTCAAGAGGTACTGAGTGCTTTGTTTGCTCTGTTGATCAGACCTGAACCGGAGATTGCCCCTGACCAGACACTGCTGAACATATATAATCAAAATAGGATCGTTTACGAAGAAAAAGCGAAAAAAGCGCACAGGAAGCTAAGTGACGTTGATGTTGCATCGACACATCTTAGTAATGATTTCCTTCAATTCTCATTACTTTCTATTTGACAATGTAGTGATAACGTAAAGAGAAATAAGATGTTGATCAATTAAAAGCTTTGTTTAAACATGAACTGTTCGATCAAAGAATCTTCAAGTATAAATTACTAGAAAATAGTCCAAAGAAAATACGCGCGCTGATTGGTTTAAGTTCATGTTTCTAATAAGCAATTAGATTATGAGCTCGAGATTTCTATCGTGTGATAGTTGCGCCCGAATCAACTATCATGCATAGAAATCCAGAGCGAATAATCTGCTAGTCGTCCAAAACTTTATCTAAATCCTCTTCAGAGACACTTCGAAAACGCATAGAAGCGGGAACCAGTTTTTTAACAACCGCACAACGTTACGCTACTCACCCTCTACAACGGTATAGATAGTGTGTAGCGTAACTAGTAAGACCGACATTCGTGATAGAACGTTGGTAAATTTATACTAATAGAGGTCTCACAACTTCAGTGTAGGAGGTGAAAAATCCTTCCCTTGCAATTCCCTACGGGAGATATTTTGATTACTAAGAAAACATCTTGTTCATGTTTTTTGGTGGGGTGGTTGTTTATAGTATTTATGTCGCTTCCGTCCTTGGATTGTCCAGTGCGAAAGGTAATACCGTTGGCCGCAAAGTGGTCAGTGTAAAACGCAGACTGCGAACCAGGGTTCAAATGCAGACTGAGGGAAACTGCAGACTGCAGACTTTTTAACTGAATCGTGTTATCATCTCATCATTGAGAGCTTACCGTATAAATAGGCTAACCGGAGCGTTATATTTTTCAAGCTAATCTGAGTGACATTCAGTCTAACCGGAGTGCAGACGTTTACTGCGATTAGCTTAAATAATTCTGTTTACGGTCAGCGCTCCATAATGGAAATAACTCGATATATAATTAAAAACACAGTCTGCGTTTTACGCTGACCGTCCGCAAGGCCTGCCATCCAGTTTCCAACGAGAAAACTTTTCATATAACGTACAAGACAACTTTGAATCTGCATTCAGCGCAGAGGTAGGCAGGACTCTTTTTTTTTCAATCGAGTTCCTCGCGCCTTGTATAAAGTGTTTTCACACCACAGGGCAGTGGCCATTTTGGTGTTTACAAACAATGGCATTTCGCAATATTGGGAAATGAGTTCTTTCATGGAAAATTTTCCTGTTGTTCAGGAAAACACCAGTATGCATGGTGACTGTGTTGAAACTCTCTATGTCATTACAATAAACTGTCTTGCGGTGGAGTTTCAAGTCAGTGAGGCGATACTCAACTGAAGGCGAACCGAGAAAGCGCGTGTGTTAATCCGAATTAGTAACATCTTTATAATCTTATAATTTAGAAATAAAAAACGAACATTTGGCCGAAAGAAGTGCTCACCTTCAGCTGGGTCTCATTACAAACAAGTCCTTGCTTGAGACCTTTCCAACTGACCTTTCGTTATATCTTCTGCATCTTCTCGGGCAAAGATTACAAACAACATAGTCTTCAGAAGAAGGAAACGTTTTCATTTTTGATCCTCTTCCAAATGCTTGTTTCGTTAGGTGAAAATATCATGAATATGAATTACCATATGGAAGCGCTGACACAAAAGGCGCGAGTATTGTCTGCACACTATCTATGTGAACAATTCTACTGTATAATACCCCGAAACAAAAATAGTATCGCACGTATATGCTGAATTTTATTCAATTGAATCATTTCAAGATATTATTTACGCCTTAAAGGTCAATGCCACAACATTTAAAAAGGTAAGCGTGACTTGCAGAATCAATTTTGTCCGGCAAGAACATGACGAAAAGATCTTTTATCTATCCAAACAATGTAAACTTATGTAGTGGCCTGGACCTAATTACTAAGAGTAGAGTAATATCAAAACGATTCAAAAAGCTCTATCTGTCGAATACACGTTTCTTATAGCTGAAGTCGCTGAAGACCAGCTTTAATTATTCTTTATGTTTACACTGAAATATCTATTTAACTAATACGGCTGGGTACGAGACTGACACTAAGCATGCGCAGACTATTTGGCGTGACGCCAGCGTCTACAAATCTAAAGGAGAGATTTCTCTGATATGAGGTATTCCATGTAGTTTACATCAAAGAGAGATAAGAATATCATTATATCTTCCCCAGCATGGTCGGGAAGACGTAAGCATGATAAAACATAATAACATCGACAAAAGAATACTTCAAAATAACGAAGCTTAAAGCTTTTGTAAAAAAAGTATGTTTTGTTTAAATTGTCATTTCGTTTTGCATTACTTTATTTTCTTTAATTTTGTTGTTCAAATTTTGGTTACTTTTTCGATCGGACTATCTATATTACTGGAAGATATAATATTTTTGAAAAAATTTCTTTTAACTTCCATCTTTACTTGCGCATGCAGACTGTACAAAAATGCCACTTTTTCAAATAACACGAGAAGCAAGTTGGGAGGAAGCGAAAGGCTTTTAAAGCTAGCCTGACCTGAGGCTTAAGCTGGCACAAGCCATACAATCCTCAGTTATCCAAATCTATTGAACTTAGCGATTGCTTTACAAAAATAAACTTAAACTTTCACATTCGGTCGCTTTTCATATTAACCTGTACTATACATTAACAATGGGCAATTCCCGCTACGAGACGTTCCCGCAGGGAATCATAGCAGTTGTATTCATGAAAACAAATATCCTGTCCAAGATGATAAATGCAACTACCGTTATTCCCCGCGGACTCGCCTGATAGATGGAACTGGCCATTATTTTATATTAAGGTATCTTTCCCTGATTCACTGTCCTTCCTAGCTGTGGTTTGCTTTGTTTAAGCTCGTCAATGGTTTGTCAAATTCTCGATCACGGTGCTTCTGTTTCTGTCGACGGCGATTTTATCGAAGAGCGAAGACACAAGAGCTGTCCAACCAGTTTGATGACTGAAAAGAGAGAAATGAAATAAATCAGAAACCCATTCAAGACTTCAAAAAAAAAAAAGAAAAAAAACAAATGAAGTAAATCAGCTCTCCTAATCTTGTAATAGCAGCTGTTATTATTTTGGGGCTAGGGGCAGTGTTTCTGTTGTTTGTTCTATTGTCCTCTCAAAGGGTATCAAGCAATTCAGGTGAGACCTTACAAGAGCTGCTTCCCGCCCCCCAACCCCCCCCCCCGCCCCAACAAAAAAAATCATCATTATTAGGCTAATGTTCTCAAGTTAGCCAATGCCAATGCAGTAGCAGTTTACTCACCTGGCCCCACATCCTCTTCCGGTTTCCGCCTCAAAATACTCGTAGAACAGCACCAGTTGGTTCCAGTCCTCGTCTGTTGCATATCGCTCCTCAACTCCGTGACAGGGCCTGTGGCCAAGTTCGTCTGGGAGAAACACAGAGACCAAACGACGGGAAAGTTCCATGGACACATCTCGGAGACGCATCAGATTTCCAGAACCGGTTGGACATTCGACCATGAAACTGGTTCCATAGAAGTAGTCATAGCGTTTGAGTGCCTCAACAATCAGATAGTTGACTGCGAGGAAAATGCAATAGTTAGTTTAGTTTTGTCGCTTTTGGAGAAGAAACACTATTCAGGTGTGAATTAACAAGAAGCCTTCACTCATTTCTGAAAAGTTGAATCCATCGTCCGCCAGAAGAGATTTTATTTGCAGAAAGATAGAGTCTTTTGAATGTTCTGCTCCGCGCCGTTTTGGATTTTACGTTGTGACGCTTCTGTTCGATCGTCTTTAAGAATCCCAGTCTACATGTTACGTGATACTTACCACAATACCAGATCGGTCCCCTCCAGTTACTGTTGCCGCCAAACATGTGTGTGTTGGACTCGCCTGGAACATAATCCACTTTGTATTTGATACCGTCGATGTCCAGTTCGTAGGGGTACTTTTCATGGTAACGTGACATAGAACGGATACCGTACGGTGACAAGAATTCATCTTCATCCAACATGTACGACAACAAACTACGAAGCTGTTCACGGGAGGGAATCGCCAGGAGGTATGAGTCGTCGTTTGGATTCAAGGAGGCGATCTGTTGAAAAACAAGAAACTTCAACTCAAAATTGAAGGAGGCGTTGAATATAGTGAAACAGTCACATGGATTCCTGTGTGAATGCTCGGCTGAATTAAGTATTACAACTAGGCAGAGGAAGTGGAGGGGCGTGGCGTCGACTTGAGTCGAGTCGAGTCGATTTGAGTAGAGAAGAGAAGAGTAAGTTAGAGTAGAGTAGAGCAGAGTAGAGTAAAGTAGAGTAGGGTAGAGTGCAGTAGAGTTGAGTAGAGTAGAGTAGAGTGCAGTAGAGTAGGGTAGAGTAGAGTAGAGTAGAGTAGAGTAGAGTAGAGTAGAGTAGAGTGCAGTAGAGTAGAGTAGAGTAGAGCAAAGTAGAATAAAGTAGAGTAGAGCAAAGTAGAGTAGAGTAGAGTAGAGTAGAGTAGAGTAAAGTAGAGTAGAGTAGAGTGCAGTAGATTAGAGTAGAGTACAGTAAAGTAGAGTAGAGTAGAATGCAGTAGAGTAGAGTAGAGTAGAGTAGAGTGCAGTACAGTAGAGTAGATTAGTGTAGAGTAGATTAGATTAGAGTAGAGTGCAGTAGAGTAGAGTAGAGTGCTGTAGATTAGAGTAGAGTAGAGTAGAGTACAGTAGAGCAAAGTAGAGTAGAGTAGAGTAGAGTACAGCAAAGTAGAGTAGAGTAAAGTAGAGTAGAGTAGAATGCAGTAGAGTAGAGTAGAGTAGAGTGCAGTAGAGTAGAGTATAGTAGAGTATAGTAGAGTAGAATAGAGCAGAGTGCAGTAGAGTAGAGTAGAGTAGAGTAAAGTGCAGTACAGTAGAGTAGAGTAGATTAGATTAGAGTAGAGTAGAGTGCAGTAGAATAGAGTAGAGTAAAGTGCTGTAGAGTAGAGTAGAGTAGAGTAGAGTGCTGTAGATTAGATTAGAGTAGAGTAGAGTAGAGTACAGCAAATTAGAGTAGAGTAAAGTAGAGTAAAGTAGAATGCAGTAGAGTAGAGTGCAGTAGAGTAGAGCAGAGTAGAGTGCAGTAGAGTAGAGTACAGTAGAGTACAGTACAGTACAGTAGAGTGCAGTAGAGTAGAGTGCAGTAGAGTACAGTACAGTAGAGTACAGTACAGTAGAGTAGAGTGCAGTACAGTAGAGTAGATTAGAGTAGAGTAGAGTAGAGTAGAGTGCAGTAGAGTAGAGTAGAGTGCAGTAGAGTAGAGTAGATTAGAGTAGAGTAGATTAGATTAGAGTAGAGTAGAGTACAGCAAAGTAGAGTAGAGTAGAGTAGAGTAGGGTAGAGTACAGTAGAGTAGAGTAGAGTAGAGCAGAGCAGAGCAGAGTAGAGTAGAGTAGAGTAGAGTAGAGTGCAGTAGAGTAGAGTAGATTAGGGTAGAGTAAATTAGATTAGAGTAGAGTAGAGTGCAGTAGAGTAGAGTAGCGTAGAGTGCAGTACAGTAGAGTAGATTAGTGTAGAGTAGATTAGATTAGAGTAGAGTAGAGGGCAGTAGAGTAGAGGGCAGTAGAGTAGAGTAGAGTGCTGTAGATTAGAGTAGAGTAGAGTAGAGTACAGTAGAGCAAAGTAGAGTAGAGTAGAGTAGAGTACAGCAAAGTAGAGTAGAGTAAAGTAGAGTAGAGTAGAATGCAGTAGAGTAGAGTAGAGTAGAGTGCAGTAGAGTAGAGTATAGTAGAGTATAGTAGAGTAGAGTAGAGCAGAGTGCAGTAGAGTAGAGTAGAGTAGAGTAGAGTGCAGTACAGTAGAGTAGAGTAGATTAGAGTAGAGTAGATTAGATTAGAGTAGAGTAGAGTGCAGTAGAGTAGAGTGCAGTAGAGTAGAGTAGAGTGCTGTAGAGTAGAGTAGAGTAGAGTAGAGTAGAGTAGAGCAGAGCAGAGCAGAGTAGAGTAGAGTAGATTAGAGTAGAGTAGAGTGCAGTAGAGTAGAGTAGATTAGAGTAGAGTAAATTAGACTAGAGTAGAGTAGAGTGCAGTAGAGTAAAGTAGAGTAGAGTAGAGTGGAGGGGAGAGCAAGGTGGAGGGGAGAGGCGTAGAGAAGTCATCAGTGGGTAGAAGCAGAGCAATGAAGAAGAGTTGGCTCACTAGATAGTTAAGTCGAGTTAATTAAGTAGAGTATATAGAGTAGAGTACATAGAAAAAGAACAACTAAGATTTAGGGAACAACTAAATGGTTATACTTCTTAATACCTGTGAGGCTAGGTCTTTCCTGTTTTCCATAAACCAGTTTAACCGGCTTCTGAATCCAGGAAGTTTACCCAGATACTTGCCATCCAACACCCAACAGGCCAGCAGAGGAACCAGGCCAACCAAGCTACGCACGCGCAGAGGAAAAAACTCCTCTCCTCTGTGGAAGTGATCGTAATAGAATCCGTCCTCAGGATCCCAGAGTCCAAACCCGTCCGACATTTGATTAATGGCGTCCGCGATGCGGGTGAAATGTTCCAGGAACTTGACAGCAATGTCTTCGTAGGCGGCGTCATTAAGAGCGAGCTCTAAAGAGATGTTAAGCATCACAACAGAATATATGGCCATCCATGCTGTGCCGTCAGCCTGTTATAAAAAAATTGATTTATTTGATTTGATTTGGATCTATAAAACCATAGTTAATGGAGGAAAATGGTTAGGAAGGCTGGTAAACATCAAAGAAGCAGACAAACAGTCTACGATTTATGTTGGAAGGTCCTTGACCCTGCACATCTTTTGTCTTATGCTTATTAACTATGCATGAATTACATAATCGCAATGCTTCTATTGGTTAGTTGTATGAGCACACATAACCACCTTTTGCATTTTGCCAGGATTTGTGCAGGCTCAATCCCCAAAATAGCAAACAAAAACATACAACAAAGAACTTTTCCAAGTTTCCTAACCATTTCCCTCTATTAACTATGATAAAACCAAGCTGAGAATAAAGGCTTCGGAACCGGGCAGAGTTTTAGTCGTCTTAAACCGTTTTGGAACTTCAAAGTCTTGTTCAAGCAATTAACTTGTAGACCTTAATTACGCTTGTGTGCACTCTATTACAAGAAGTATATTGATCAAGTATGGCCTTACAAGGAACTATGTTAAAAATAGACTGTTTCTTAACCTGGCAAAGGCGGTCTCCTGGGGGGAGAGGCTTAGATCTGTCAAAACACCCTGAAAAGAATAAAAGTAAACCAACGATTAAGATCCGTAGCAGAGATATCAGAGAAGATCGGTCAAAAGTGTTGTGTGATACTCACCAATGTTGTCAAGACCAAGAAATCCTCCTCCAAAAATGTTCTTCCCTTCAGGGTCCTTCTGGTTTACCCACCTTCAGAGAAACTCACATTAGAATATAACTATTGCATACCCGCTATTGAACACAGAACACCATCTTCTAATTGGTAATTAACTATTACACGGTAAGTCATTTACTACAAATCATTTATTGATCGCTAAATGACTAATCAGGCCTTACAAAGAACCGTCTCCTAAAAATTAGCTAGAGAGGAAATTAGCCTCGGTACTAAAATCATGATCAAACGCCTTGTAACTAAGGGGCAGGTACATCGTTCAAAGTGCTTGTTTGTTGAATATGTGGTATCGTAACTCGATCATTCACACACCTAACCAAGGGAAGTTAGAATTTTCATTTTGATCAGAACTGAGCTTGTGATTGTTTTGATTCACATTAGTGCTTTGTTTACACAACAAATAAAGGTCTTATTTAACTTCCACATTTCAAGGGTTTTCATACAACCTACAATTGGTTTTCATGGCTTACCAAGTAAAGTTTAGAAGAAGTTTCTGAAAGCATTTCGCAAGGAAGACAGTGTCCTTCTCTCCAGACCTCCCGGTCAGTTCGTACACTCGGTAACAGGCCAGCGCGTGCACTGGTGGATTGACGTCACTGAACGCGAACTCGTACGCGGGAATCTGTCCGTTTGGTGCCATGTATGTCTCGCGTAGGAACAGTAACAACTGGTCTTTGGCAAACTCAGGGTCGACTTTGCAGAAGGGAAGCATGTGGAAGGCTAAGTCCCAGGAGGCGTACTCGATAAAGTAAGAGGACAAGGGTAACATTAGTTGTTTATCCTTTGGTGAATTTCGGAGGGCCCAGCTTTCGTTGGGTGGGGGGTTGGGGGGGGGGGGGTTGAGGAGGGGGGTAAAAGAAAGTAAAGTGGCCCATCAAGTGGCCCATCAGGTCAGCGCTTCTACTCCTCCTCCCTGGATGGAATGCTGGTCCATCGACGGGTTCCCTCCCCCAGTATCCATTTCTACACCTGGGTGGAGAGAGGCACTGTGCATATAAAGTGTCTTTCCCTAAAACATAATACAGTGTCCACGGCCAGGGCTCGAACCAGGACCGCTCAATCCGGAGGCGATCGCACCAACCATGAGGCCAGCGCGCCTCTAAGGGGAGGGGCGGCAGAAAGGGAATCGCTATTTTTGGCTAGTTTTGTGGGCTGAAATTTTCTCAATATACACAGAGAAGAAAGAGATAAATCTTGTTGAAAAGACACCGTTAGGCAAAAGACTAGACCTGAATTTCAAGGTGAAACTTACCCATGGGTATTCCCATTTGTCAGGCATAGAAATCACATCTTTGTTATGCAGATATTTCCATTCTGAGTTCCGTCCATTAAGACGGTTACGAGGCGGGCAAGGCATGTTAGGATCGCCTTTAAGCCATTCATCAACCACGTAGTAATAAAACTGTTTGCTCCATAGCAATCCTGCGTAGGACTGGCGCGACACTATCACCTCTTCGTCTGACATGCGCCATAATGACAGAAAAAAAAAAAAAACAGGCCTCTTTTACTCTTTTTCTTCTGCGTTTTTCTTGGACATCTTGATACGTTTCCTCCCTGAATCGAAGGCGACTATAACGTTTTNACAGAAAAAAAAAAAAAAAAACAAGAAAATCAACAAAATGCTCACACAGTGTCACGCAACACTTTAAGTGCATCACGCAAGGGTGGTATCAGCTTACGCTCTTTTGGGTTCCAGTCTTGTTTTCACTGAATTTGGAAAACACAAAACTACATAAAAACGGTTATCACCAGGTATAACAGTCTTGTAAAATTCATCAGCTTCGTTTTTCCTCCTGGTGACCATTTCATCAAAACCATTCTCCCTAACAGACGGAGGAATTCTGTCATCGCAGGCTGAAAGGCGACAACGAATTATGTGCCGTCCTCCAGAGGGGACCGTAAGGACGTAATGCGCTGCCATCTTGGAGCCCCTTTTGAGGGGATTAACTGCATCGGCTTTGCCGTCAATGAGGTAGCGATGAAATGCATCTTTTGTGTACGATGAGCTGTTAACTGTGTTGTAGAGTTTCTGATAAAAATAAACAGGAAGAAAAAATACAAGGAAATTTTTAAATGATAGAATGTTGTTCTTTAAATCAATTTTTTAGGCGATAGTATAGGCTATACTATGTCAAACTCAGAGGGTGAAGTCTTCTTAAAGACTGAAAAAGTAGCGAAAAAAAAAATGAACATCAAAGACCACTAAGATTAGATTAGATATTTTGAACTCTGTAATAGAGTTAATACACATGCAAGGCTTTGGTCCTTTTATATTGGTGTCTGAAAAAAATTAAAACATGTACAGTGACTGGCAATGTGGATACACCCTCCTCACTAGAAAGTGAAAGGTAAATATTGTGTGGATAGACAATAAGAGCTTCTCCAAGTTTAAAAGTTATCTGTGTTGATCAGTTTGAATGTACATGGAATGAATACTAAAAGATTGTTTGGTATCATTGATTTTGTTTTTGTTCTTTCTCTTCGTAACAACAAGTCATCGGGCTCCATTTTACCTTAAAATTTGTTTCATTTTCTGTGAAAATCATTTCCGGTCGGTGTCCTTCCTGGCCAGAGTCCACAGTAAAAAAGTATTTTCCCAACGTGTCGTGATGACATGCCACAACACCAGGTTGCGTTTGGATCAACTTTGGTTTCGTCATGCATTCTTCCGGTTCAGTGCCGCATGTACACGCCTCGTGATCACAGCTCCAGCTCCACGTGTTCCTGAACCACAAGGTCGGTAGCACATGCACCCGCGCTGTTTCCGGTCCGCGGTTGGCTACGGTGATTTTGATAAGCACATCATCAGGAGTGTTCTTTGAGTACTCTGCAAAAATGTCCCAATAGCGTCCCTCCTCAAATACGCCTACAGTGAGAAAGGAACAGACAGTCAGGCAATTAGTTGCAGGTATCTTGACCATTCCACATCGTTTCATTATTCAACTAAGGGACCAATTTTCAGAGTTTCGCTTTTTATATTTGCCTTTGGGTTTGCCTTTCAAAAGTGTTGTCATCACTTGCCATCTTTTCAAATAGTCCATCAGCTGCCGAGATAGCTCAGTTGGGAGAGCGTCAGACTGAAGATCTGAAGGTCCCTGGTTCAAATCCGGAGAACTCGCTTGAGTTCTGAATAATCCCGGGTCTCGGCATATTTTGATTACTTTGGTTTTCTTCTCTCTCTCTTCTTTTCGCAAATACGTTTTCTATTTTCGCTATTTATTTGGTACAAGCTTTTACAATCACACTCACCAGTATCAGCCAGTTCAAACTCTTGTTCCTGCTTTGTTCTTTCTCTGTTCTCGCTGACAATTAAGTCATAAGGATATTCATTCTGTGGGTATTTGTACAGGGCCTTCATGTAAGAATGAGTTGGAGTGGAGTCCAGATAGTAGTAACATTCCTTCACGTCCTCACCATGGTTACCTGACACATGAATAACAAGTTAATGATTGCTAAGCCTCTTTTTCAAAGCGAGTCTTGGTGCCCATCCTTTCATATGAAAAGGAGATTTCATTCACATGCAAATTAAACTCATTTTCATACGAATGATTGTGTACCAGGCCTCGTGTTGGTGGAGAGGCTTAGGGCACTCGGAAATGGGCTATTACTGTAGTGGATTTCAATAATAGCGTCTTTTCAGCTCTTGTTTTATTTTTGATCCTTTTTCGGCTTTAATTGTGTTGAAACGATAGCGAACGCTAATGCTGGACATAGTTGAATATTATTATTTCGTGTGTTTCAGGACACAGATGGGGTTTCATGTCAAGGAACAAATCAAAGAATAACACAACTGTCACACTGTTTTTCCAAATGTAGAAGATTACCAGCAGAAAATGACGCTTCTGATGTAATCTGAGAGCAGAGTTTATTGTTGAGTGTGAAACACAGGTTTGTGTCAGAAGAGAGGAAAATTATTGTAACATGAAGATGCACAGTTTTTTTTATTCAGAATTCAGATAACACGGTGCTACATTAATTTAATCTTTAATAAACACTTTCCTTACCCTCGTTTCCAGTGAGTCCAAAGAGTCTTTCTTTCAGAATGGGATCTTTCTCATTCCACAAACACAAACCAAAACATAGTCGACACTCCTGGTCCGTGATTCCTAGCAAACCATCCTCTCCCCACCGATAAGCACGTGATCGGGCGTGATCATGAGGGAAATAGTCCCAGCTGAAAAAAATCCGAGGTTGTCACATGATAATGCCTGGATGAGTTTGTTGTTGAAATTAAATTCGTTAATTTTAAAACTAGTAAGTCAATTCATGCCGAATCACGTGGACATTTCCTGCACGCAATGCTTGATTGTGTGCTCGATAAGTGAAAAACTGAACTTTAATTCCGCTTTGACTAAATCACTGTTTGTTTTTTCACTTTCATTGCCACCTTAGGCCATCCACACACCACTTGCAAACACGAGGGTTTACTCACATCACTATGCACGAGGCGCCATCGCGGAAATGTAGTCGAAAAGTCACGGAAACCTTCAAATAATGGCACCTCGTTCCCAGAGCTTTTCCCTTACACGTGCACTACTATGGTTTCCATGAGGTAACGCATACAGCACACAGAGATTTAATTTCAAACTGAAGGAGTCTTCAAGACGTCATCAAATTCTGTCCTTTTCTCTTGGAAAGACCAATAAAAAGTTATTACAATCTACTCTTTCTCTTAGTCGAAAAGTCAAAAGCCAAAAGACAGTTTTACATCAGTGGTAGCCTTGTTAAAAATAATAGTCTAGTCATATTAATAAAACGTATCAACATGGTTTAGGGGAATTTCCCTTGTAATTTGGAACAAGGTTGATAAAGGCTTCGTGATATGCATGAATAATGCACGTGGACTACGGAAAGCTATTAAGATGATTTTCTTGAATAACGCATGCAGCGCTCGACGAGTGTTTGATCCCAAATTGAACTAGAAGTGAAGTCTGCGAGACGTTATCAAATTCTGGCATTTATTCTTGGAAAGATCAATAAAAAAAGTCATTGCAATCTACTATTTCTAAGTCAAAAGTCTAAAGACAGTTTACATCATTGGAAACCTAAAAATAATGGTCTAGTCATGTTAAAAAGTACCAGCATGGTTTAGGGGGATTTTCCCTTGAAGTTTGGAACTCGTTTGAATAAGTGCTACGTGATGCGTGCGAAAAATGCACGTGCACTACTGATGGTTTCCTGAGTAACGCATGCAGCGCTAGGGGATTAGATCTCAAATGGAAGAAGTGAAGTCTGCCAGATGTTTTTAAATCTTGCTGCCTTTTCTGCTTGAAAAAACGAATAAAAAGTTATTGCAATCCACTCTTTCTGTAACAATTTACTTCATCTTCATTTTCTGCTTCATCTTGGTGTTCTAAGCGCATTTGTCGTGAATGAGCGATGTCATTCAGTTCAAGTGGCCTAATGACTGTTCAAGAATGGGCCGATGATAGTGTGATTTCTGTAACCGGAAATCGTTAATGTGAAAACAAAGTTTATTTGGCGGAGAAGGTTCTTATATTTTAGGAGTTCTTGATCGCGTGTTCTTAATGAGGATTACACGAGGAAAACATCAGTAACGAGGCCTCACGTAATGTTGTTTTCTGCGGTAAGTTTTGGCAGAATCAGACATTACATAACATTCTGTTGAACTTAGCAGGAAACGAGAGCTTTTTGTTAAAGTAAACTTTTGTGAAAAGAGAAATATTTGCTCACAAATCAGTGAGAATGCTTATGTTTTTCTCTTTGTTTCTTATCACTGTTCAGACTTCATAGTCAGGCCTGAGTGTTCTGAACGAAAGGCACGCGGCCGGCTCGCTGTGAGGGGTGTTGGGGTTCCATTTATTGAGCTCTATTGGAACTCGCGTGCCAGATTCAGTCTAGGTTCTTTTCTGTGTATGTCACTTTTCTCTTGACATCCCATCTCCTCCCCTCGTCAAGTTTATTTTAATGCGCGTGTTGTGCCTTCACCTTTACAAATTTAATTGACTCATAAAAATGTATCTATCCCAGTAATAATTTGAAATTTGTTTTATTAAATCGGCTTTGGGCCTCTCAGCCATTACATTGATCAAGCTTTTAGTGTCTCCGAGACGCTAACGCCCAGCAAACAAGGATGGGTAACGCAGCCTAACATTTAAAAAGTCCCCTATGTATAGGGCAAAGTAGCAAAACATAAAAAAAACTTTCTGCAGCTGTTTGGCACGAAAAGAAAAAAAACATTAAATATCTGATTTAAGCTGATTTCCTGAGAAGAAACAATTGGGTGGAATTCTATAATGCGAGTTCTGGCCTCGTGCTTGAAAATGTCTCTTCGAAGTAAACTTTTGAAGATGAAAAACGTAGCTTTTGAAATGACTGAACCACGGTACAAGTTAATAGAAGCAGGTTCAGGAAAATAAAGGTTCAATATGATCGTCTTGATCTAGGGCGAAATTCCTCTAAGCATATTAGAGCAAACGTGTAAAGAACATTAAAGAGAGTTGTATCGGAATACAATTTTTGTTTTTCTCCGTTTTCTTATTACTGTTCAGATTTCAAAGTCATGCCGAATGATTGCTGTTTAACACGATGTTTATGTAAACACGAAATGTCTTGACGGGCTTGCTGAGAGAGGTGTGGCTTTTTCAATGAATTCAGCCATCAACAGTTGTTTGGTATAAACTTGCGTTCTCGGTTAACAATCGGGCGTTCCTAAAACTCAGACACCTTTTAAGCCTTATCTACTTCAGATCCACGCAAGCCAAAAACTGAGCAAAACTATGCAATGGCATATCAAGTATTTAAGACAGAAAAAAAGAGTAAAAATTGCTTACCAGTTGCCATCGTCGGAATAGTCTTCACGTACTGTGCCCCATTGCCTCTCGGACAAGTAAGGCCCCCATTGTTTCCAGCTCTTGTTGGAGTCGATCTTGTCTAGTTCCAGTCGCTTGTGTTCCTCGGTCTGTTTCTTGCAGATCGGCGTTGGTTGGGAATGCTTCTTTCTTTGCCATATCTTGGATGAAGTTATTTCATCATTATCTGATATCGTTTTCGTGAAATGAGTGTTAAAATAATTTCGTACAGAAGGGATTAATAAAGATCCATTTGTGAAATATTCCCATATCTTCTGAAACTCCAGGTTTCCCTTTTCACTCAAGCTTCCTTTTTCGCCAATTGCACGACGCAATAGCCTTTCTGCCACGGATCGGCGGCGCCATTTTGCGCCCAATCTTCCTTTTAAGGTAGCTCTGTAATCCATCTGTGAAAAGCAACAAATTAGTTTGAGTGCAACACTTGCTTGTCAAGATGGAAACTTCGTGTGTCCGCTCCAAAACAACACTGCGGCTTTTATCAGCTCGCATTTACCTTTGCCGTTCATGACATCAAAGTTAAAATTAATCTTACTTTGTTTCAAAGTCGTGACAATTTCTTTGTGCAAAGCTCACCCAGTCCAAGAATTACCATCTGCACGTGTACTTTGCACGTGCGGATCTAAAGGGCGGGAAATAAGAGGCGTGGAACTTTCGTGTCCGATATATCATACGAGCCTGTTCGCTGGAAACACCATCAGTTGTCGTTTGTTTTGATAGATTTTTCTTCTACAATATCTTTCAAGTTGCACGAAAAGCTCTTTAGAGCTTTTGTTTTTTCAAAAAAGAACCCGCAATATTATTATGTATTTTCTAAAGTCTCGTCCACACTACGCTGGAGAAATTTGAAAACGCAGCTTTATTTTAACAGTTAGACCTACCGTCCACACTAATCTGTCACGAAAACGGACTGCTTTTCAAAAACGCTCTTTAAATTAAACCGGAAGAATTTAAAAACACCAGCTTTGCATTTTAGAGTGGATGGAAAGCATTTTAAAAACGGAGCTTTTCGAAAACGATGACATTACGATACTCACGTGATTTTCCTGACCGAGTTTTCCTCAAACACAAATCCAAATGATCTTGATTGTTGCGTTTTCAAATTTCTCCGGAGTACTGTGGAAGTCAAAATGAACGTTTGATGTTTTTTTCGGAGTGATCGAAAACGCCGTTTTTAAACTTTCTCCGGCGTAGTGTGGATGAGGCCTTAGACTAAGAACTGGGCAAAAAAAACAAAAAAAAACCATCGAAAGACTTACCAAAGTAGCAAGTTTCTTTCTCTCAAGTAAAAGTAGTTCTTTCCATCTTTATTAGCTATGTTTTTTTTTCTTGTCTCGTGCGAGCTATAGCGTCTCGTGCAGGAGTGCCCTTGGACTTACGTAGACTGTTCACGGACGTTTTTTTTTTTTTTTTTGCTACTATTTTTTTTTTCGAGCACCCGAGCCTTCCCCAGGGCCACCCCATTGCGTTCGGGTTTTTTCAAATCACCCCTTGTGACCTTGTGTGTAATTTGACGGGTTTACATATGCGACTTGAAATAACTTGATTTGACCGACGTATGTTCATGTGACTGTCAATTTTTTGGCTGCAAACATTCATTGAATCATCCCAGCTGGGAGCCCACAGAACAAAGAAGAACTCATAGTTCAGTCGACTTCCGATAACTCGACCCTTCGAGGGAAATTGAAAAAGGTTCAAGTTATTGGGAGTTGAGAACAAATGACCGGAAATAAGGAAAAAACGGTGTTGAATGTTTTTCTATTCATGCAGTGTACATTTTAATCAAATTTAATTACAGAATTGAGAAGTCGAGTGAAAATAAAACAATACGTCTCTAAATTACTGTATAAATCGGAACATAACGTAATGTGAAAAACAAAGGAAAGCAGCAGGGAGAAGTCCAGGAACTGTGGACTTTACAAGTTTTTTTTTTTTTTTTAAAGAGAACAATGTCGGGCTACTGGTACAATGCTCATGCGATTTCCTTTTTTTTTTGTGAAAACTAGCGGAACCTGAACTGAACTGACACGTTGTGTAATGTAAAAGAGAGGAAAAAGTTCACTGACACGGCTGCTTCAAAATAAATTTAATGTTTTGGACTAAAGTACACTGTTTGTTTTGACTTGTCACGTATTGACAGACATGGTTCGAGTTAGCGGGAGGTTCGAGTTATCGAGGGCTCGAGTTACCGAGGGTAAAATTACAGTAAATGTATGACGGTAATCCAGGGGAAACCGATTTTGGTTTGAGTTACCGCGAGGTTCGAGTTTAATAGCAAAGGTTCGAGTTATCGAGAGTCGACTGGTATTTATAACGATTGACGTGCTATGTCCTGTGATGAAAATTACATGTGAAACGCACAAACGTGTTCGCTAGCCTCCAAAATAAGGCAGGTCCCGTTTCTTCGTCGTCTCTCAACTGTGCAAAGGTAGAAATATTATTTCAAGCAGGAACAGTTACTCTGCCGGAGTCACCTTAAAACGAAGACGAGGCTGACCTGTACCCCGTCTCTTGAGAGTTCCATTGAACATCGAGCCGTTCTTCCTTCCCATGATCCCATGTTCCTTAGAAGATTCACCCAGACTACCTCGACTTTCGCCCATTCAAAGGACGGCAACTAGGGAGACAACTAGACCAGGACGATCAGAGATATGTTTATGTCACTAAGAGTTGTTACTTTTTTTGGTCGGTTGAGCGTTGGTGAGCGATCATCTTTTTGTCCAGAAATGTATCATTCCACTATTCTTGTTGGGAGACCACAAAGCATATTTATTTAACTCAATTGTCCTGCTTATCTGTTATTGATTTCGTACTATTTTTAGTGGTGCAATGTTTATATTGGTCAAATTGAAAGGAAAACCACGGCCAAATAACTTTTCCAAAACGAACTATCAATTTTTTCTATGAGAGTATATTTTATAAGAATATCTAGGCTGAAATTTGCGAAATTTTAAGAATATTTTAAGAATAAACCCGAGGCTGGGATTTTGAAAAGAATACAATTTTGTGGGTTGAAAATTTGAAAACCCAATACACTCATATGTCTTTAACCAAACCGTAAAAATTCTTTCTTTCTCTAAACGGCAAAACTAGCCATAAAACAACAAAAACAGCACTAGCCGTGTGTTCGAGGCTAGTAACATTTCTGCAAGACGTTATGTGTATCTTAATGGCCAGCAATCTGGTTGAAAACTTACTTCAACGCCATCAAAGTCATGATAGGACAGATAATATGACATTTTGTCGGCATAGTCCATTTCGTATTCTTTTATTTTTACACAAGATCGGCAGAAGAATAAAATGGTGATAAACGAGTCCCAGAGGTTTTCTTGGTTTCCCAACGGCACGGTGCTATGAAGATTCATAGTCTCTAAAGAATAAGACGACTTTTCCCTCAAAAATTTCTGGCCAAAAGCTTCGGTTCTTAAAAATAGTTGCTTATCGCACCACACGGATACTAGTGCCCATTCCACTACGCGGACAATGCTGTGTTTTGCTGAGTTGTCACGTGTCAATGCCGTGAACCCAGCCAAACACACGAGGATTCCGATGAAAAATTGGGCTTATACGTCAAAAAAGAAATGAACTTTTTCCCAGTGAAAGTAACTGACCATGAAACGGAAAGATAAATTGCATCGGTCGCAATTGAATTTCCGCCAAAAAATTGCTGGCCATGTGATTATCGCGACAACTGAACATTTCAGTATACCACATAAAGTATAATTAACGTTCCGCATGTTCGAGAATTCTTTTCTTGGCGAGAAATTCACTCTTCCATCTCAATGTCAGAGCCGTAAGAACCACATATTGACAAAAGCATTTTGTGGTTTTTCCAAAATTCTCGTGATCGTCTTGTGCCTTTGTAATTTGAAGCCATCAAAACAAACAACTTTTACCGCGTTCATCTTTATGCCCAGGCTCGATTTCCGCCGCTCTCTCGAGTCCGGTGCGGTGCCCTACTCTATGCCCTGTGTTAACGAATCACTGACAAGCGTACGTGGGTTAAATTCGTTGCTTAACTGGGCAAAGCCATGACTTCGCATATTTGTACCGGATATCAAATTAAAACTCTTTTAGCAGGAAAGAGACTCTTAAACAGTAAAATCCGACTCACATACGAAGGGAAGTGGCAATCAAATTTCATCCTATTAACACGATTTACGAGGTTCATGTCGTGATGCTGGCCGGCCAACTCAAAACAAACAACTTGTCGGACCCCACCTTGCTTAACCGTTTTCTTTTTTTTTTTGCGATCGCTATATCTAAATATGTTTTTTTTTTTCTTGATCAAACAATTCCAAATTCTCACTATTATTACAAGGACGAATTTCACGGTGGGAGAATAATTCCTGCATGAAGACAACCTATCGCTCTCGCTGAGTGAATTTGCTCTATTAAAATGGCACATAGAAGTTTGGAAATTCCTCATTGATTGCGGGTTAAGGTGTAGGTCCCATACCCTAACCAAAGGTGGAGGGGAAGAGAGTGGTACTCGTCTATATATCATGACTGCGGTGCTCAGAAGATTATCGGGTTTTAGAGTTGTTTTGGTTTCAAAGCGAAGTGATAGATTTTGGCTTCTGGTCCGAGGAAAAACCTGATTAAACTTGAATAATGTTTATCAAACTTACAATCTAACAGTTTTGACTGAAAGACTCTGTCCTGGTCCAACGATACTCCATACTCTCATAAAAGTAGTAAAACGGCCGATCACGTGTTTTTTTTTTTCCGTTTGACCTTTATTTTAGTTAGACAAGTGGGTGGCCAGCTAGAACGGAGGTTAGGGAAGACGAGGTATAGGGGACTGGGCAAGCAATGCAACAACAAGTAGATACATGAAACATCGAAATAATTATTACTAGCTGCAACATAAAGATACAAATGAGGACTGGGATCCGGTGAAGAAGGGAAATAGAATGCAAATGGATGTGCACTCTATGAAGGTCGTGCTGATACTCGCGAATGTCGTTCGAGAACCAGAGTCCGTTTTAAAGCAAGAAAAGAACTGAGAGGCACTTACGTTTCTGTCAGCACTGCAGTTTACTGTATTAGCGATGTTTCATTAAAAAGCCTCCTTTTGTTGTATAACTGGCGACCAGACGTCGTACCTTTTCAAGTGTCGCGCTCTGTCGCAGCTCTCTCTTTCGTGGAAAGATTTACAGCTTTTTCTGTACGATTATCCGGCGATTTATACCCATTCTATGTAAGGAATATCTCCAATTAAGGGGAAATAAGTCACAAGTATGCCCATTGATTGCATCCGTTGACGTCAGCATTAACTGTCGTTGCTAATTGGCGAGGAGCTGCTGTTCACGTGCTTGTGTCATGTACGAGCAAGGCGAGGGGAAATCTCTTCCCTGTGCAGTCATGAACAACTTGGAAACGCCATGGAAAAATGGAATAATTTATTTATTTTAGCCAGTCTGAAAATCCTGCGTTTAAAAGTTGCCGTTTCAATGGTACTGGCATTAAAAAGAATTTGCCAACGAAGCAAACTTCGTCGTTCAAACTTCTTTACAATTTTATTTCTATGGAAGCAGTTAGACGTATAGACTGCCCACAATGAGAGACTGTCCTCTAAAAAGACATTTATGGATTTGCTTTGGTTTTGGTTCGTCGAATTTAGCATGAGACTAAATCAACTAATAGTGGTGCAATAAACGTAATAGTCGTGCAATAAACGTTGAAATGTTATCCGCTCTCATTTGTTTCCGGTAAAAGGTCAACAGCGTCGCGTGAGCGAATCTTTGAGGATGTCAACAAAATAATTAATCGTGAAATCTGTTCACACGAACTAAAGAGGATATCTTGGTTATAAATCTAGGAAAAGCAGATAAAGGTCAACAAGAGACGACAAAAAAAACGTGATACTGGTGGTCAATTAGTCGAGAGCTCTTGGCAAGGTGAACAAAATTCAAACAAGTACATTTGATTAAAAAAAGTGATTCAATTTCAATCCAGTTTATATTCAATCAAACAAGATCATTGTTAGTGGAAAGGAAACATATCAACCCATGTGTGTCTTGTGCATTCGAGAGTAACGAACCAGTCCCTGTACTACTTGTGACGTCATCATTTTAATGCTTGCTCAGTGATGAATAGGAAATAGTGTTACAAAGAATGAGATCAATTGAGCCAAGGATAATGACACGCAAGAAATAAACCTTCGAATTTCTTCCCCTCAGATTCAAGAAAAAAACCAGACCTTTTCCGCCATTGCGACTTGTTGATCACTTTAGCTGACGTTTGGGTTCATAACTTTCTCTTATATGGAAAATTCCCCTAGTAGGGCAAGAAAACCGAAAAAGGAAGGGAGCAAAAACAGGGCCTTGTTCTGACTCGATTGATGAAGACGGCGACCCCAAGGAAACGCCTAGTAAAAAATGAATGTATATTTTACCTTCGAATTTCGCAATTGTCTACATCCGTCCATTACGCCTATTGGTCTCAGAACTTGCTTAAGCTAAACATGTAACGACAGCGGTTAATTCCAAATAAAAATACGAAAAATTAGCTGCCGTCTTCCACGTTCCAAACTACACAGAACTGAGTCACTTCACGCTGTTGTTTTGCAGAGGATGACCAAGAAATGTACAAAGACGACTTATAACGCACGTGCTCAGCCATTGTTCTGCTCGTTAAACCTTTTGTTTGGTGGTGTCTCGTGTCGTTGCTGTCGTGGTTTACTTTAGCTCTCTATTGCTTCAGTGAACACGGTTGTACAAGAAACTGAGGTTTTATTTGGCTCCAATGGAAAGTTTATCATTTTTCCTCCGCTCGTGCTATCTACGCGTGACGTGTTTGGATGGGAACAGGAAGGAACGTGAGACAAACGTGTGGCAAACGTGTGGCACTCACTAGGGTATGGTAATAAACACACGTGAGGAAAACCTGAAAATTCGTGGACAGAGAAGGTTTTCTAATTTAGTTACGCTACGGATTTTCCTGATATGTCTGCGTTCTTGCGAGTAGTAGTTGTGTGAAGACATGATTGATCACCGCAGTTACGCACACAACTAAAGCAGCTGTGAAATGAAAGCATGAAAAAAAAACAACAAAAAAACAAAAAAACAAAAACAAAAAACAGAAAAGAAAAGAAAAGAAAAAATCAGCCTAGAACGGTGGCAAGAGCCACCGTTGTGAATTCGCAATATACCCGTAGATGGTGACGATACAAGTAAATATAGGAGAGATAGTTGTGTTAAATTGGCGAATACCAGGCAAATACCCTTACGGGTCCTCTCGGGTGGTTGGCTTTCGACTAGTATCGTGTGAGGTCTAGTCAGACCGGGTAACTCAGCCTAAGGGTTCAAGCTAAGCCATTTTCTATATATTCCATAATGTACCATTACAGTAGAACGGAAAATTCTGCAAGGATAGCAGCCTAGCTAGCTTGATATGCCTTTGGCTAATCACCGGACAGATATAAGCAAAAAGCTGTTTAAAACTGTTCAGTATCTTTTTTGATAACGACTGTGTTATTTTGTCCAGTTTACAATCAATCGTCGGGCTGCGGTGAAACCAGGGGAAGATTGAGACATTTAAAATTAAAAGAAAAATTCTACATTATGTTGCTTTCTCAAAAATAAAAAGAGCTAAACAACATTTTTTTTTTCATTTTACCCTCGGTCAGTGTTTACTGTACAGCGTAAACCCGTTTCACACAAACCATTGTCCTCGATGCTAAAATGCCAAAACTAAAATCTACTTTGTAGACATTATGGTAGATGCGAATGCATTCGCATCTATCACCATGTCTACATTTAATCGCTACTGTTGGACATCTATTACTTTAAAATCTACTTTGATTACATGGAAAGGGTATTCAAAAAAGTATAGTTGACAAGCTGCAGTAAGTGTAAAAATATAACCAGTAAAAAATCACTAGTCTGTAGTCGTACAAAAGCAAAAAGGGATCGAATACCACTGTGCTTCTATTTAAAGAAAACTCTCTAAAACATCCCAAACGACGTTTTGCTAAAGTATAAAAACTAGCTTAGCTCCGGTAGTTATGAGCAGCCATCAAAAAAGTGTTTCATACTGTAAAACATGGAAACGCTCTGGAACGCGTGGAACCGAAATTTCGAGGAATGCATGGAGGCATTATTTTAGCGAATTTTCCTTTCTTCTTAAAAGGTGTATAGTAATTGTAAGTCGTAATGTTATTATAAATAGTCGAGCCTTTTTATTATGAGCTCCTGACTCGGGAGATTGTGCAACCACTCCCCACGTTTGCTATTCTAAATAAAGTTACCTTACCTTACCTTACCATACGAAACTGATTACTGAGAAAACGACTCAGTTACCATAAAATAAGAGCAAATGTTGATAAATTCAACTACCGGGTATCAACTTCCCAATTGAAGGGTCGACTTGGGCCGAAAAAAAACCTAAAACAAATCAAGGCAGTCGCCATGAAAAGTCTTGAGAAATTCTAAACGTTTAGAAGTTACATCCGGGTACTTTGTTTTGTACCACCTGGTTTACCCTTGGGTTGAATCCCGGGCGTGGTTAGAGTTAGTACAAAAGTGGGTGCATTGCAAGGCTGTATTTAGAAGTAGAAGAATTTAGCTAAGGAGTCAGTTATCAGATATTACCGTAGTTCAAGCAGAAGAATAAACAGCAAAGCTGCCAGAGCTAGTCCTGATATCTCTTGTTGTTGCACAGCAACTGCAGTTTAGGCTCTAACAGAAGGAAGGCGTTTTACTACTGAAAGTTCTGTTTAATGGTTCCGGCAACTGACTACGGTTGTTTCATTTCCAAGGACGGCCACTGAATGAGCTTGGAATGTCTGTGCTGTCGTCGCACAGACTTGTAAGTCCATGCAGCGTTCAGGAAGAAATCTGCGAGTTATCGATTGAGACCATTTTCACTTTTGCATAAAAACTACTTTGATTGTCCTTTTAAACCATGAATACCTTCGATTACAATATCACGTCATCGATTACATTATTATACCAGATTATAAGGGGGACGTTTACGGCCGTATTTGTTACACAAGTAAGTGAGGTTACAGTTCGATTAAATAAAGTTAAGTGTTCTTCGATCCAGAAACGATTGATACCTTCGATTACAATATCATGTAATCTATCACACTATTACACCACATTGTAAGGAGTTCGTTTACTGCTATAATTGTTACAGAAAAGAGACTACAGTTCAATTAAATATCTTCGATTCTGGCACTAAGTAAACGCTCACCAATTTCTATCCAGCACGAGCGAGGTTAACGTCTTTTAATAGAGAGATGGTTAACCAAGTAACAGGCCATGCGACGTGCTTGGCAACGCAAAAACACCGTATGATTAACTACGGGGTCGGTGAGAGACCAGCAGCAACGCAAGCCGCCATACAGGTCCCCTGGGCAGCATTACACGCCAGGATAGCCGCCGGAACTCCTACACTTCCGGTGGAGACCCCCGCCACTCCCCCTGCAGCAGATACACAGGCAACCCAAACTGTGTTACATCCTGTTTGACAAATTGCATAGGCCAGTGGATCTGAATGAACTGTGCTGGGTAACAGGGCCGACATGATGAGAATCTTGACAACAGCATTCATCTTTGCACTTAATGAATAGTTCCCTTCACAACTGTTTAAAGAAATGGTGGTAAATAATGAGATATGTTTCTTGTAGTGTGTGCACGTCAGTGTAAATTCAATGAATTCCAATTATTGTCACCACCGAAAACACACCCACATAGGCGGATTTTACTGCCTATCAGAGTCATACATGATACGCAAAGAGGGACAAGCATGTTAGTCTTTCTGCGATGGATGCATCAAGCATTTGGCCCTCCTAGGTCACAGTACTTACTGGAGGCTTCAAACAATGAACAGCACTAAAAATGGTTGAAGTCACCTATAGCTATGAGAGTTAGGCCCAGTTCAGACACCGAACTTTTCATGAGCCGAACGTAATTCGAATTTGGACGGACCCAAATTAACAAAAGTACACCTGTTGATTGAGACGTCGAACTTAATTCGCCGAACTTTATTTAGTTTTAACTAAATCACATCGAAGTGTCAGCGATTTTCAGGCAAAGTGAAAACTGCTTGGAAAATACGTTATAATAATTTATGCATTAGGTTCGGCTCATGAAAAGTTCGACGTCTGAATCAAAGCTGTTCCAAAGCCGAAATTCCCGGGTGAGCTAGGCGGGAAGAACGGCTGGGCCGTTCCAAATTCAAATAGCCGTTCTTAATTGATTTGGACGCCGAACTTTTCATGTACTTAATTCAACGTATTCAGCTCGGCTCATGGAAAGTTCGGCGTCTGAACTGGGCCTTAGTTCCTTACGAGAGGCTCCAGCTATAATGATTTAACAAGAGTTTGGTATTTCGGAGAAGTGGTCGCTTACGAGACAGTGACGGGATATAGCTGCTCATGAGAGGTGGTCGCCCAAGGAAGCTCGACTGTAACTTAGCGATATTTTCACCGCTGGTCGCGCAAAACGACCGTCTGGAAATAGGTATCATAAAAAGTACTGATCGATTGGCGGATCAGTAGTTACCCAGGGAACCAGTTAACTTAAACCGGGAGCATGCTCCTGCTTAAACGAAATACCTAGCCTTCTAAGGAGAAGGGGAGAGGTAGAGGAGGGGGTAAGAAGAGAAAGATTCTTGCCCAGGCTCTTTACCCAACCTTTCCGCTGATACTAACCATGCTTTTTACATAAAACAAGGCATTCGCAACTTCACTCCGTACCCCAGCCCCGTTTACGCACCTCTGAATCTGGAGGGGGGGGGGNGTTTTCGGGGGTGTACTTAGGTATGCCAATGACGGAAGGGTGTAAGGATCTTTAACCTCTAGAGTCCTAGTTTTCGGGGGTGTACTTAGGTATGCCAATGACGGAGGGGAGTAAGGATCTTTAACCTCTAGAGTCCGAGTTTTTGGGTAAAAGATTTTGTTAAGGACTTTCGGGAAGCTGAGACGAAGTGTAACCAAGACGACTAAGTTCTTTTTTGGTTGTTTATGGACCGAGACGGAGTCGAGGTCTATAACCCAGCAAGAAGAGAACGAACTTGGTTAATAAAGGATTATTATATGGGATAAAGAACAGACGTTACGTTCTGGGCGCTGCACTTGTCTGGTTCTTAGCATTTAGCCTCAACTGCAGCTACCGTTCCCCCGAGCTCGTGGACTCAGTAAAGATCTGCAAACCAACATGGCAATTTTGAAACTCCGACGGTTTTGACGAGCTCAGTGTGAGAATCTTTATAACATAGTTCCGCTGCTTACATTATCGTGCGAATACAGACGCCTTAAGTCTTATCAGTCCCGGTCATTTTATCAAATATGACTTGCTGATATCATAAACAGCTAACATGTAAATTTACCCAAGCAGTTAACATGTTAGCTTGAAAATTTGCGCGCTTTCAGGAAACTGCAGTTATTTATAGAGAGAGTAAGAATGACGTTTAGAGAAATCGGCAAAAAATACCTTTAATTTTGTATTGTTTTCTTCTGTCAAATCCTTTCACTCTACTGAACAGAGCTGAAGAAAACAGTGTCATGCTTGATTGCGTCGGTCGAGGCAAGAAAACCTTTATTTATTTCTCGCCAAATATTTTTGGTCCAAACTCACTTTTCAAAACATTACAGCAACTCCAAATGAACCAAACTATTCGGCGGTTTATTTTCTCCTTTTCATATTATAAATAAGCGTCTCACAGAATTTTATAATTTTAATATTACGGGTCTCATGGTCTCGAATTGTTTCGTTCTTCGAGTCTCCCTAGATTTCGTTTGCAAGGCAAAGAAGGTTCGCGGAGCTACAGCTCGCATAGTTCATCGCCCCTCGAAATATATGATCATAGCCCGCGCTTCTCTCATCGTATTGAGTCGAGAGGAACTAGAGTCCCGGCAAACTATTTTTGAAATTAAAAGAGCCGGAGCTGGACAGAAGCAGCAGAACCATATTGAAAACAAAAGTAATCTACGCATTTCTTTGCAGGAACAGCTGCCCACCACTTGCAGTATCTCTATTCTTTTATCCCCTACAAAGCACAAATTTTTTGTAGCTATACCTGAACAACTCACCTTAGAGGACAAGAAAAATCAAATTTTTCTTGCCGAACAAAGCGCTTAAGGTGATTCCTCACATTTGCATTGCGCATCCTTACTGCGCATAATTTATGGCGTCATTCGCGCGCGCTAGTGCACACGCACATTGAAAACATGGCGGATTTGCCTTGATATTGAGATCTGTCGGTTGAAAAATGGCTATAACTCACTAACAAGCTCGGGGCATCCACAATTTTTTTCCAGTCATTTTAATCAACTAATCATTAGCTTTGCGTGAGAAAAGACTGATCTGATTTCTATTGTTGAAAATTGAATAAATAAGGAAAATAGCAGCTGCACTGTAGTCTTTTCTGTTTTGCAGTATTTTAACAAGGATTCAGCTGCCTGTCAAAATCAAACTTAAAAAGTTTGTCCGACGCAAGTATTGACTGTAGTTTGAGACGTGTTTTCATGGGTCTGGGCTCACAAAGAGTTTACAATAACTTGGAATGCGTTCTTGTAATAAGCGTTACATAATGCTAAAATGGGACATTTTTAATACCTCACTGGTCCTTAACGAACATGGGCACCCCCCT